TATCTCTCACTAAATGGTTTTCTCTAGTGATCCTTGATTAATAAGACTACATTTTTGGCACATTGTTAGATAGGTGTAATGAATTCTTATTTCTGGCATCTTGCATGTTGGCTTTTCCCAGTTCCTGACAACTCATCTATCTTGCATTTGCTGGAAGCCTTGACCCACTATTGATATTTCAGCCCACCTTTGAATCCCGTCTCCCTGCCCAAATCTGAATTTTTGTTATTTTTCTAGAATAGTAGCTGTGTGGATCAGGTAGACTATATCTTTGTAACTAAGGTTTTCTGTGGTTGTTCTTTTTGCCCTCTCTCTCTTTTCTTTGTTTTTAATCAGATAGTAGCTTATATTGACCCCTAGAGAACAGATTCTGAAATGAAAGCTATTCTCAAGGGGTCTTCTCTTGGCATTTACTCTTAGGATGGGCATTTATAGAGGAGTAGAGTAAGAAGAACGAGCCAAGGCAGTAGTTTAATTGCCACCAATGGTCGCACACTGACCAAATGGCCATTTCCAAGGAAACTCTAAAGCCAGGAAAGTCCCTCTGTCCCTTTTTGAGGAAAGAGAGATGTAACTTTTATGATTATCCCTTGTCTTTAGGCTGCCCAATAGGAAAGATAATTCCACTTTAGGAGAGGCTACTGTCCTTGGCCAAAAGACACTGTCCAGGGAGATATGTGGCTGTCTGCTAGCCAGCCATGAATGTGACCGGAAGCGAGGTGGAGGGGACAATAACTTAACTCAGCGTAGGTCTTGCTCACGCCACAGCATCCACTAGGGATGTTCTCCGTGCAGATTCTACATGGAATATTCTGGAATGCAGGTTCTACATGGAATATTCTGGAATGCAGGTTCTCCATGGAATATTCTGGAATGCAAGTTCTCCATGAATATTCTGGAATGCAGGTTCTCCATGGAATATTCTGGGATGCAGGTTCTCCATGGAATATTCTGGAATCTTTCACGAATAAATAGGGGGTCCAACTCATCCCATATGCCTGGGGCTATCCCAGCTTGGAAACTGGAACTCATCAGTTCTAGACAAACCAGGATTATTGGCTGTTTCACAACAGTTCAACCTGTTGGAAATACATTCAACCTGTTATCTTTCTGTTTCCTTCCTGTCTTCCTGTACCATTGGCTACATCTGTAGTCACTAACTATGCATTCTGGGCTCTTGCCCATGAATTTGTTTTCCCTTCTTTAGGCAGTTACTCATGGGATGTTGTTACCTTTCCATTTTCACATTTTCCAAGTATATTTGGATTTAAAGTCATACACACAAAAAGCAACACAATACAATGTTCCCTCCATATCTCTTTTTGTGGTTTGGTTCGTGGATTCTCCCTGTCTTGGATACCAAAATCCCAGGCATAATGTTTACATGAAACCTACTTAGACTTTCCTCCTGTATGACTTGAATCAGTTCTCAATGACTTAAAATGGCCCATACAATATAGGTACTGTGAAAATATTCCCTAAACTGTGTTCTGTAGGGAAGAATGAAAAGAGAATTCAGTAGAGATACAACTTGTTCCTTTTGTGCACGTTGATGTGCTAAAAAGGAACACGTGGCTACTGAGTTAACAGTTGGTAGAGCTGGTGGCTAAGGCCTGACTCAGGTTGGCTTTGGTTGGCCAGTTAAACAAAATGGAAATTGCAAAGGTCGTGTGATCCTCAGAGGTCTTTGCATCCTGGAATACTGGACAAAGGCCAGGAGATTCCAACACTACCCTTAGGTCATTATCTTCTTCAGTGATGATGTACACCTGCAACCTTATTTAGAGAAGGGAACGAGAAAATGGTGGAGACTGAAAAATGTGACCAAGCAAATGAAGATAATAGACAAACAGGCTCTGGAAAGGAGATTGGAAAATTGTGTTTATTTATTTATTTATTTATTTATTTATTTATTTATTTATTGGTACCAGGAATCAAACTCATGCCCCACATTTGCCAGGCAGGCGCTATGCCGCTGAGCTACATCCCTGTCCCAAATAGTGGTTATTTTTATTTTTGCTTTTAATTTTTAAATGTTTTTGGTACTGGGAATCAAACTCATGGAAGCATGCTTGCTAGGCAGGCACTGTGCCTTTGAGCTACATCCCTGGCCCAGTAAGTTGTTATTTTGGAGGTCATAAATACATTCAAATGGAAGTTCCTCCTAATAGAAAAGAGTTAACATCTTGGTATTCTTCAGTCACATGGATGAGACAATAATTAGGGTTATTAATTTTTATTTAAATTAAATATAATGTGTTAAAGTCACAGAGCAACCAGCATGAACGTTTGCTATCTGCGATTGTCCAATAAAACAGATGCAGTAACCTGCCACCCACCTCATGTCCAAGTGTGTGTGCTGGGTCTCTTCATGGATATGAATTGGATCACTGGTCTGATGCAGAATTATTAACTTTTGTATCATGGGCATTTGGGAAGAGATGTCACATTGTCAGGCATGGGGGCTGGGCTGGTTTGTGTCTGTCCAGGACTCCTGTGCATCATAGCAATATCCCTGACATCTACCCACTCACAGGCTGCTATTAGAGCTTGCCCAGAGGTGACACCAGAAATATTTGTCCCCAAGGGGCAATATTGCCCTTGGATGAGGACCTCTCAGATCCTGTTTTCGAATGCTGGCAAGGCTGTGAGAAAAATTAGTAAATTACTTGATAAATTAATGTAATTAGTACAACCACGGAGATCACAATGGAGATAAAGAAAAAAACCCTCAAACAATAAATTCCACTTGACCTGGCCATTCCCCTTCTAAGTATTTTCTAAAAGAGTTAAAGTTACTGTATTGTTATAGTTAAGTAGTGCTTGCACGCCCATGTGAATAACATCACAATTCATATTAGCTAGATCTTGGAAACAGCCTATCAGCAGATGTGAATAAAGAAAATGTGGTATTCATACCCAATGGCATCCTATCCTGCCATAAAGAACGATCAGTATCAATCATTTGTAGGCAAATGGACTCACCTTGAGAGCAGGATGTTAAATGAAACATATCAGGCACACAGCTTAATTATCACATGGTTTTCCGTAATGAGAAACCCAAAATGTAACTAAAAAGCAAAATCAAGGATAACAGGAAGAAAGGAAATGGGACTTTCTCAAAGTGGTTGGGGATTAAGAGGTGGAAGAAGGGGAAGGGGATGGAGAAAAAGTTAAGGTATGTTATATGCATGCATGAACTTCATGCAAGGAGTGTATATATTGTGTCCTGCAAACAAGTAAAATAAAAGATGAAAAATAATGTCCTCCTAGCATGGGACATTAGACTTTGCCACTGTGCTGTTCGGTAAACGCAGACTCTCAACAGTGATCACACTGCGATATGTTTCAACTTTTCTCTTTCTCTTCATTCCTTGGTGGTGGGTAGCTCGCTGAGAGTCAAGCTGATGTCTTTCAGTCTCTGCCAATCCAAAGCGTGGGCAAAAGAATTGAATACAATGATCTGTACCTGCCTTGATGTAAGCACTTGGTGGCTCAGATCAGATCCATGGCCCCCGTACCATCCATGACTTTCCAAGGCATTTCAGGGTGATGGAGAGAAAAGAAGCGACCTCCCCCAGGGGTACTGTCATTCCTACAGAGAGAGGGTCAGGAGCAAGGTCAACTGTACAGGGTTCCATGTGTACGAGGCTCTAACATGAAAAGCCATGCTTCAAGATTGATTAATTAACAGTTTCAAATGTCATCTCTGGGGAGCGGGAGATAGCATTTCCGGGATAATGACTGAACCTCAGAAATTACTGCTGGAAAGTTACTTTCAGGCAAGCGCATAGGCAAGTGAGCCAAATCCCCGGTACCTTGAAACTTAACTTCAATAAAGCAAGAGCTCCATTTACAAAAATCTATGCAGACATCATGGTTTTCTCCTGGATATGTTTTACCAAGTAGGATTACGGTTCACATTTTAAAACGCAAATAGTAGGTTTGTATGTTAGTGAATTGTGAAAGACAGATACTAGTTTGTGATCTGAATGTCAGCAACTGAAACAGAAATGTCTTCCATAAGTTGAACTGTATCTCTTTGGCTTTCTTCTGAACTCACCTTCAATTCGTATGTAGGGTTCTGTATGTCACAGGTCAGACAACTCTTTCTCCAAAGGGGAAAACGTAAATAATTTGCGGGTTTTGGGGGCCAAGGGACGTGTTTCACAGTCTACTTGGTTTTGACTTGGCGACCCCAAAACTATCCACGCGTCAAATGAAGGTAAATACATATGATTTTGTGCAATTAGGCTTCGTTCATAGACACTGAAATGTTTTTTTGCATGCATCAAAGATACTCTTTTTTAAATGTTTGAACATGAAACAGTGTTGACTGATACAAAAACAAGAGGTGAGCCATAACTGTGACCCCAAGTCTATTCAGAAGGTGGCTATTGGAGCTGGAATGAAGCTTAGTAGTAGAACACTTGGTTAGCATGCTGGTGGGCCTGGGGGTAATCCAGTCCCCCAAATGTTTGAGAGCTTGATGTGTGTAACGAATGAGCTGTGGGCCTGTACTTGTGCTTTTTGAACCTGTCGGAGGCTGTGATGTAGGCCAGGGATCAGTATTCCCTTAGCACAGGAGGCTCTGGGTTCCATCAGCAGCATGGCCAAAGGGAAACCAAAATGCTGGTTGGTTGGAAAAAAATCTACATAATATAGTTGGTAATATATGCAGATACAGGACACAAAGACAAGGAAACAAGGCATCGTGCAAATAAAAGTCCAATGAAAAAGAGAGGGGGGAGCTCAAGGGAAAAATGATCCTATGATATGATACTTAACAATGGGAAAATCTGATTCATATGGAACCTTTATGAGAGCTTCTCAGAGTCTTGAGATAGCCAGCAGAGACTTAATTATCTGAGTTAAGTACAGTGGAAAGAAGCAATTTCTGAAGGGGAATCTCCCAGTGTAAGAAAGAGCTCTTCTCATACAAGTCCATCTTCATGTGGTTCTCCACCATCCAACTCTTCTCCTTTTGCATGAATTCACAGGGTGAGCCTGTCCCCTCTGGTGCTCATCTGCTGAGAGCTTCCTTTCTACATCTGCACATAGTGATCCCTATCACAGAAGGCCCACATCAGGATAACTGCTGGCAGTTGTATTAAACTGACGTCAGGGTAAGTGTCCATTTGTGGGGTTGTGCTTTGGATGTAGCGTGGCTCTTTAGGAAAATGTTTCACTCACCTGGAACCTGAGTTGTGATTTTTGCATTGAACGGTGGCCTTGCAACTGGAGTTCTATAATGTTCTGATGATTACAGACATGAACATGTGGAACTATCCTCTCTGTCCCTTTTGCCCAAAGAACTTTCCAGTGAAAGATCCCATTTGCCAAAGGGAAGTGCTGTTGGAACAATGCCAGTTTGTAAGAGACAGGGTATACAGAGGTCTTCTGGGAAGAATGGCCACAGTGTGATAAATGGAAGCAGATGGCATGTTTGTTAGGTTTCTATCGCTGTTACAAAATACCTGAGCATGTATACATTTAAAAGAGGAAAGGTTTCTTTTGGTTCACAGCTTCAGAGGGTACAGTCCATGGCTATGTGCCTACAGTGTTTTGAAGCAGGACATCTTGCAGTAGAACTGAACTGGTTTCCTTGGGGTGACTAAGAAGCAAAAATAAAAAGAGGATGGAGCCAGGTAGGACATTTGCCCTTCCAGGACATGTTCCCAGTGACGTACAATCTCCATTTAGACCCAGCTGCTAAAGTTGACACCTTTTCCCAGTAGCCCATTAAGTTACGAATCCATCATCACATTGATGAGACCATATCCCTGGTGATCCAGTCATCTCCCCTCCCCCTGCAGTTCTGAACCCCGTTGTGAGGGAGGTCAATCTTTGAGTACAGGAATATCAGGAGAAACATTCCAGATCCAAATCTAAATGATACAGCGTATAGGAAGTCTTGAGAAGTGATCAATGGATCTCATGCGCCTTTGAGGGAGTTTTGTTGGAAGAAAGCAGCACAGTTGGGATGCAGAGGAAATGCTCATGTCACCAGTGGGTTCCATCTACTGCTTTTCTGCTGCAACCCATCAATGCCTCAGCAACAGAGCCAGCTAGCTCACTTGCAGAAAGAGTTCCTCTTCTGGTGAAAGTAGATATGTGTGGTGTCTGCTCATCCTTTGAGAAGTTTCCAGCACCCCTGGGGCCCTCAATGTGGAGCTCAGGAGTAGAGCCCAGGCTAAAGCTAGGGGACTCTGGGGTTCATCCCCAGCACTTAACATTTAAAAAGCACACATAGAAAGATGAACAAAAGTCTCCTGACCAGAATCCTTGTGCCTACAGCTTTTCTAGGACGGAGCCTGATCCTATGAAGTCGTGTCATTATGACGTCATGCCATTGTGACGTAGAGGGAGGCAGCTGTGGCCATTCAGAGTGGCCCCAACAGGCGCAACGAAGAGGACAGGAAGTGGGCTCACAGGAGATGCTTGGTTCAGATCCACACTCAGAGGCTCTGGAAGACGACACCATTCATGCATGCCACCTTGCCATGTGGGATCCAGCTCTCCACTTCCACTTCTGGGCTATCAGGAAGCTGTTTCCACTTTCCGCTCCTCAGTTGGCTTCTCAGGTAAAGATGCTGATCAATAACGGTGACCATTCCCTAGGACCATTCTAGAAAGTAAGGAAATCCCATTTTTAAATTTATGAGTGCATGTTTGCTGTACTGGGTGTTTATATCCCTTGTGTGAAGTTGGTGCCTGCACGTAACACATCTTAATTTCTTGTCTCATCTCTTTCCCTCCCTTCATATCTCTTGATCCCTATCCCTTGGACAAAGAACCATCCCCCTACTTCCTTTAAGTTGTCTTTTTATTTTGCTCTTTAATTATACTGTGGTTTTCTCATTATGAGAATCCATGAGACATTTACATCTGAAACTGTCTGAAACCTTCTGTGCTATTGATGGAAATGTACGTGAGTGCAGCCACCATGGAGACCAGTATGGAGATTCTTCAAAAAGCTAAAGCCAGTCATGTGATCCAGCCATTTCCCTTCCGCATATTTTCCGCCAAAGAGTTAAAGACATTGTATAACAGTGGTCCATGTGTATTTACACTGATAACGGCACAATTCACGACAGCTAAACCTTGGAAGTCGCCTCTTTGGCTATCAGCAGATGAATCTTTGAAGCAAATTTGGTGTTTATACACAATGGATTGCTACTCTTCCATAGAGAAGGACAAAGGACAAATTTCAGGGTTTTTTTTTTTGTTTGTTTTGTTTTTTGGTCATTTAGAGACAGGGTCTTGCTATGCAGTTCAGGCTGGCCTTGAGCTCACTTTGCAGCCCAGGCTGGTCTCAAACTCACAGTAATCCTCCTGCCTCAGCCTCCCAAGTGCTGGAATGACAGGATAAAATTTGACTTGCTTGTAGGCAAATGGCTATACCTTGAGGCCATAGCAATGTTAAGTGAAATAAGCCAGAGACTCAGGCTTAAGGCTGGTTTTAATAACTAAACACAGCTTTGGAGTAGGAGGTTACATCTAGATGTATCATAGCTCTTCCTGCCCCAGGATGGCTTCTGCTCTCTGCACAGAATCTGGCGTGACCTGGAAACCTTTCTGATCATCAGACTATGGCTCAGAATGGGTGGAGGGGAGGGAAGGTACTATGCCACCTCTATGCATTGGCAGCACCAGCAAACCCCAAGCGTCAGGAGGGCTAAAGGGGGGCAAGCCTGCTCTCCACGCTGTGGAGCTGACTTAGTCTCCTTCTCCCTGCCATAGTCACTGGGGTTAGAATGAGAACTAAAGAGGAAAAAAGACACAAAAACAATGACCTTTTCAGGTTTTGTTTTGTTTTTGTCTTCTGTTAAATTTAAAGCTCTTGGCAGACAGTCCTTTTCCAAGAAGAATCTTTTCCATGCAGACCTAAAACCATAGCTTGTACCCCCTATTGACACTGAGTGGCTTTGCAAATTCATACGCCGTTCTGATTTCCATAATTTGTCCTTTAAAGAGTGCCTGTGTTCCTTTGCTTAGTGTTGGAAACAAACTTTTCAGCTGCCTTCAAGACCAATTTGTGGTTCCAAAGTCTTTGATAATGCCGGAGCTAGGTTTCATTATACTTCTGTCTTCCAGCCTTCAACACCTGCTAAATAGTTTTATTTGTAGCCATCTGGAAAACAACTGTACATGTAGCAGGGAAATGTTTTAAGTAATTTTTTTGGCCATTTATTCCTATTGGAGATTGATAGTCTTTCAACCCAGCTAGAACAGTGCTAAAAAAAAAAAATTGATAGACCGAGTAGCTAATTAAAAGTAGGTGTCTGCAAAGGCTCATGATTAATTCATGATAAATGTACTCTGCATTCATTATTTTTTCTTAATTTTCTGATAAAAAGTGGGAGTCTTTCAGTGGGAACTGAAATATCTGTTCCTAAATACCTAATAACAATATCCATTATGTTTCTGCAACATAAAGCCGTCCTCCTGAGGGTACTGTAATGTCTAAACATCTCAGAATTCAGCATATTAAACTCTTTCCTCCCCTAAGTGGAAGAAGAGTTTGGGGGTAATGAAGAAAACTCTCTTATCTGGTGTCTGGATACCCTAATTTATTCCCCTTCAAAAGAAAAGAGCTTAATGATATTTTGTTTTGTTTTGTTTTTTTCTTTTTTATCAGTACCTGGGATCAAACTAATGACTGCCTGCTTTCAAGGCAGGTGCTTATGCCGCTGAGCTAAACCCCCAGCACAGAGCTTAATGATATTAACAGATATCTTTATTAGAAAACAAAAGAAAATGTCATTTTTCTAAGATGCCATTTTATTTGGAGAAATCTGTCAGGACTCTCTTGGCTTATTAGCCTTAAATATCCTAAGGCAATTGTGGTTTTTTTAATCTTTTCATAGCTCCATATAAAAATAAACTTCTATAAGGTTACTGGATGGAGCAAATCCCCATGGAGAGGAACATTTTAGTTTCAATATATTGATCCCAAGTACAAAACTTAAGGTTAATAGCCAGGGGGCTGGGGATTTAGCTCAGCCGCATAAGCGCCTGCCTTGTAAGCAGTCAGTTGTGAGTTCAATCCCTGGTACCAATAAAAACAAAAAAGGTTAATAGCCAGACATGGTAGTGCATGCCTGTAATCCCAGTAATGGGGAGGCTGAGACAGGAGGATTGCCATGAGTTTGAGGCAAGCCTGAACGTGAGACCCTGTCTCAAGAAAGGTTAAATAAATAAATAAATAAATAAATAAATAAATAAATAAAGTTATTGTGTGGTTGTGTCTCAGAAAAATGAAAGATGAAGGGGGAAAAGCAGGCAAATAGCAAGAGAAAAATAGAGCAACTACTGTTACTATCAAGGTGTCTTGTGCCCTTGTACTTGCTGTGAGGTTGTAGGAGCGATACAGAAAATCTACATAGTGCCTGTTATTTTGTTCAGTTTGAATCTTATCCTAGGAAATATCATACATATCCCTAACACAGAGCATTATGTAAAAACAACTGTGCAGGATTCTTCTAGAAGAATCAATGTCATGAAAGGTAGAAGAAAAAAAAAAGATCCTGAAATGATGCAGGATTCTTTCAGATTTGAAAAGATTTAAGAAATAGAACAACTGTACCCTAATCTTGACTGGATCCTAGGTTGAAAAAAGAACAGCTTGAGTAATTATGTGGGGACTCTGTGGGAGTTTACTGAATCTATGTTCATTTTACAGTGGTTACACTGGTAATATATTTACCAAAAAGTCTAGGAGTCCTATGCTAAAGTATTGGGCGCAGGAACGGAAATATAATTTATGCAACTTTGTATAAAACATCACAAGTACTGAGGGAATAGAGCTCAGTGATAGAGCACCTGCCTACTATTCTATAATTCTGAATTTGATCCCCAGCACAACTAACCAAACACCCAATCAACAAAAGAAAATCCATTATGACACACATGCAAATATGTGCCTTAGTTTTCTGTGGTGGACTGATGTAGAGAAAGGTGGTATATAGATGTATTTTCCTGAGCATGTACACACACAAGTACCTGTAACTGTTGGCAGAAGGAAAGAAGGGAGGGAGGGACATGGGCAGACTGGAGGAGGAGGGAGGAAGGAAGGAAGGTGAGAGGGAAGAAATAAAGTTTCCTGTATGTCTTTGAGGTGTTGCCTGGGATGGAATATTGGGGATGGAGAGAGAGACAGAGAGACAGAGAGAGAGAGAGAGAGAGAGAGAGAGAGAGAGAGAGACAGACAGAGACAGAGACAGAGAGACAGACAGAGAGAGAGAGAGACTGAGAGAGACAGAGACAGAGAGACAGAGAGTGAGAGAGAAAGACTGAGAGAGATAGAGACAGAGACAGACAGACAGAGAGAGACAGAGACAGAGGCAGAGAGAGACTGAGAGAGAGACAGAGACAGAGAGACAGAGAGAGACAGACAGAGAGACAGACAGAGAGAGACAGGGACAAAGAGACACAGAGAGAGACAGAGACAGAGAGAGACAGAGACATAAAGCGAGAGAGACAGAGACAGAGTCAGACAGAGACAGAGAGAGACAGAGACAGACACAGAGACAGAGAGAGACAGAGAGACAGACAGAGAGACAGACAGAGAGACAGAGAGAGATAGACAAAGACAGAGACAGACAGAGACAGAGACAGAGAGAGACAGAGAGACTGAGAGAGACAAAGACAGACGGACATAGAGAGACAGACAGAGACAGAGAGACAGACAGAGAGAGAGAGTGGGAGAGAACGGGAGAGAGAAGAAGGAAAGAAAGGCAAAGACAGTTTATCCTGGGAAAGGGCAGCAAATCTCCAACTCTGTGCCATCTTTTGACAGAAGGAAGGGTGTGGCCAGGTTGAGCTATGAGGAAGTAGATAAGGAGGTAGATAGATCAAAGAGTGTACAGATAGATACATAAGTAGGTAGATAAATAGATAGATAGATAAATAGATAGGGTAGATGGGATTAGGTACGTAGGGGAATAGGTAGATGGATAGTTGGGTGGACAGATGGGCAATTGTATGATTGGGTGGACAGATAGGATAGATGAGTAAGTAGATACAAAAATAATAGATGATAAATTGGTAATGTCAGTTGAGGAAATACATGGATAAGTGGTTAGGTGGATGAGTGAATAGGCAGAGTGAAAGAGTATAGATCAGTAGATAGATGAGAAAGAGAGGCACAGATGGACAGATGACTGACTGATGTGCACTTAGGACAGAATAGATGGATAAGCAGGTAAATAAATGATAGGTCAATGAATGGATAGACAGATACTTCTTCTGTATCCTTGTAGTTTCCATGACACAAGTGTTCAAGAGGCAGCAGTGTTTATGCTGAAGTTATCTGCACCAATACCAAAGGCTTTTCTTCAAGAATACTGTCAACATAAGGAGTCAAACCAGTTCTGTGGGATTTTGTTCCTCAGACTGTCTGTCATCTACAGGCATTTTTATTGTCATATTTTGTTGCTGTTACATGCATCATCATAACACCTACTGTGACGAATCAGAATGCTTTTCATTCTGGTAAAGATTCACCTTCATCTCCACTCTCCTGGTTGTGCTGTGGGAAGAAGTTTCTTCTCTGAACCCCCTCCGTTCCCCATCATGATCC